ACTTCCCCACTTACCTCAGGGCTTTGTTCTCCATCCCCAGGCAAACCTAGTTTAAAGCCCTCCTCACTAGGTTAGCAAGCCTGTCTGCAAAGATGCTCTTCCCTCTCTTTGTCTGACTGCACAGAACCAAACCAGGACCTGGGTGGAAGCCTCAATGGTTTTTGGTCCTGCCTGGACAGGAATTCACAGGTAGAAGCAGAGGAAGAGTTGAAGTAGCAGTGGCTCTGATATTACAACATCCTCCAGCCATGTCTCTGGTCTTCTAATCTGCTGACTCTCTATTTGTAAGGTTTCTTCAAAATACAACTATCTCTCCTGGACTCCTTTCCCTCCTCAGATAGGCCTACCAGGTGATCCTTCCCAGCTGTTCCCTATGTGAGTCAAAGTCTGCTTTTCTGAAGACAAGGGCTCTTACTCTACTGCTCTCCATCTTTCCTTTCTGTTAGACCCCAACTCCATGTGGCGCCCAACGACTAAGGAGACAATGATCCAATTGCTCATGGATCCTGTTACTCATTAGCCGGAGCAAGCAGGGAGCAAACACCAGCACACACTGCTTGCAACAGCTTTAATCAGAATGGAGACAGCTTTGGGCAAAGGTCCCAAAAAAACAACAAACTGGGGACCTGCACTGAACATTTGTTTTTTTTACATTTTATACACCTTGGTTCATGCTCATTAACATTTAATCTACCTTCGTCCCTCCTTTTGTTCCACCCATTTCTCCTCCCAACTCAAGCTCCACCTCTGTTTACTGTTGACTGCATTAACATGGAATTGCCTATGCATTTCATTCATTTACATGCCTCTCTGTTAAGAGTGCATGCTCAAGGCTTTAACCTCCGCTTCCTCGGGTCACTTGCTGGTTCTTTCTGGTTTCTTGCTGACTCCTTCTTCATCTCCAAGGTCTTGCTTCTGCTTTATCTTCTGACAAAAGCTGGTAGGCTGCATCTTGTTCTTCTTACACAATGGGCTCTCTACTTTACAACACTACAACTTTGTCATAAAACATTGCATAAGCATTTGCAATGTTATTTTTAATATATCATTTTGCCTTGTGGTCAGCAGCTTTGCTGAGACACAGAGTAAAGCCTTGTATTCAGCTGCAAATCCATTGCTCCCTAAAATCCAGATATTTTCATCCTAACACTTTCCTCAGGATCCTAAACTCAGTCATCTTATGGTTGCTGCTATCCAAGTTGTCATCCACTTCATTCCCTGCCAATTCTTCCATGTTTGTGAGCAGCAGATCAAGAAGAGTACAGTTCCTAGTTGGCCTCTCCAACATTTGCATCAGGATATTGTCCCCAACACTCTCCAAAACTTTCCTAGATTGCCTGTGCGTTGCTATATTGCTCTCCCAGCAGATGTCAGTATCCCATAGATATTCCCTTTCACATAATCCTAGTCTCCTTTATCCAAGTAGCTCTTTCTTTCTCCAATTACTGCTCAATCCTTTACATCCCCACCTTCTCAGCACCTATCTCTGTGTTTACAATATCCACCACGTTTTGTTCCTTATTTCCTGCTTTTCAAGCAGGACTAAATTTACCTGGACTAAATGTTGTTTTGTGAAAAATGAAAAAAACCCTCAGGCAGATGATTTCATAGATTCTGTTCTCTGCTATGTATTATGAGCGTTCACTCGCATAATTCTGTTAGAGGGTCTTTCCAAGGCTCTGCTCACTACAGGAGAAAGGAAGGGACAGTTGAAGGTGCTACACTTAAGAAGTTTCTCACAAATTTGTATCTGCTTGTTTGCTTGTATTTTTCTTCCCATTGGCATGTCAGAGGGGGTACAGTGAGCAGCAACAAAAGACATCTTTCATCATTCCTACTTGTAGTCTAGTCCTATTCTCTCCCCATTACTCCCTGTCACCTACTATTGCTACGCTCCCCCTCTCCCTAATTCCATCCCTTTTATTATAGACCTGTAAAGGATCAGAGAACCAAAGCTCTATTTTAACACCCCTATCTAGTTGGCCCTGCTTAAGGATTCTAAGACATGTCTGTAATGCAGACTGAATTAGGTTTAAACACTTCTTAGCAGGGTACCTCAGCTTGCATGGAACTCCTTGCTACAACAGCTAGACTGCTTCCACTACCTGAGAAGTTAACTCAGGTACCTTTACACTATACTGAAGTTCAAATATGCTCATAGCACCATACATACTATGAGATTTGCTTTGGGTATCTGTTATCTCCCTGTATGACACATTCTGCCTCTCATAGTCACTGCAATGGAAACAATCCTGTATAATTTGATATATTGTTCTAGTATCCTATGGGATAAATAGATTTAAAAAAGAAATCCATGAAAAAAATTAACTCTGTTAAATTCTAAAATGTGTAAACTAATTTATATAAAAACATGTGGTGCCTGTACACAAGCGCAGAGGCTGCTCTGACGTGCTGTAATTCTAACACATTGGAGTAGACTTGATTAATTACTGCACTGCAGCAGCCCAAGTTGCAGTAATTACTGTACTCCAGCAGCTTCCCACATCTTCTGTATTTGTTTCCCCACATTTAAAAATGGTGACAGGGGTGCCTGGACTACAGTTTGTTAAATAAGCTTTAGTTCAAGCGCTTCTGCCACCATTTTAAGTGTGGGAGCCAGTCTTGGAGCCACTCTAATTAAAGCGCTGCCCGCGCCACCCCCCCAGAGCACATGTACAAATGTCCCTAGTTTTTATCTAAAGAAAATAGGTTCATCCCTATTACATTTTATTAAATATCACATTTTAAATTTTCTGTAAGGATAGAACCCATACAGAACCCAAATTTGAAGATCCTGAATTTGGAGTTCACAATGTTTCTGATGTTTATAAGACAGGGTTATATCTATATTCACATGTATGTCAGCATAGAGATGTGGCCTCTGGCAGTAGGGCGTTATTTTTATAAGAAGCTTGAGTAGTCACTTTTGAGGAGGTATTCTATATTTTGTCAGTAATGGCTGAACAAGCAGAACATCCTGAGTAGCCATTGGGAGCAGGTTTTCATATAGTGCCTTGTTTATTCCACAACATTGTGGACTTAGACACTATACCAGCAACTGCTAAAGTCTACATCAACAACCTCTGAGTTCTTTGACAACGGTAATTTATTATATTTTTATAAAACACCCTGAATTGCTACCCTTTACTCCCACATAAATGTGTATAACTATGATACTAACTTGAAAATAGTTAGCACAGTAAAATTCCTTGATGATTTTCAGTAGTGATTATTTTTCGGATTCCCGTCTCTCCTGGCCACCTCCCCACACCCCCCTTCCAATTACATACACACTTTTATCCATATAGTTCAGCTCTACTCCCTAGTTCTTGACTGTCACAATAATATCCAAGCCACCTGTTATAGAACCTCCTGCTCCCCTTGCGTTCCCCATGAGGGTGATGGGTACTACAGTCTGCTTCAATGAATCATCTCCCTAGATTCCTAGTTTTCAGTTGATGTACACATTGGACTGTTTTAAAAAGTTCAACACATGTTAACAGTTACTAGTACAAAGCGTCTGAAGTGCTGCAGATATTTCCACACATTTAGGGAATACCTGTTGGGTGTTGGATATAGTGCTGTGGGAACTGTTGATGACTGTTGACCTTTACTATCAATCGATGTACACTGCCCTGCAATAATCCTGTTGAGAGGCCATAAAATCAATATGAATGTTGCAAGATCCCCCTTGGAGAAAAAGGGCTAAATCAGCCCAACAAAAGCAGATCCAAAAAATGCTTTGAGCCGTCAGTGACATCTGAGACTCAAAGAGCAATGAGGTATCTTGGAGCACTGGAGATTTTGTTCTACTTTTTAAAGGTGAGCATACATTATTCAAGAACAGGGACAGAAACCTGCCCTTGCAGTGCTTTCAAAATACTTCTGCTTGCCTATCATCATTTGTTTTGTCTGGGTTTCGGCCTTTTCCAGTTCGCTATATCCAAGCTCCTGTTGAGACTTATCTATCAAGTTACTATAATAATAAATGTTCAGATTAGCATCCCATGAAAATATCAAGTACTTTTAGAAGTGTTTTTGTTTTATAGAATAAGACATTATGAAACAAGAAAGGCATTGTCATATACGTTGTTCTTCTTTTTCCTAGTAAATTATATCAAACTTTCTCTAGTGATTATATGCATTGATTTTTTGTAAACATTATAAAATAATATTTGCCAAGAAATCATGCTTTTTTTCACCTGGAATGTTAAATTTTGATGGTTAGCTCCTTAATTCTGTAAATTCATAATTCCGTAATTTAAATACTTAACTACAGGTGGCTCCATTTCAGAGGTCCAAGATATCAACAAATCCTCCAAAATAATAAGTGCAATTGTGGCTTCCACCTTTGAAAACCAGGCCAGATTAATTTAGGTACCTATAGATGCAGTTAGGATTTCAATGGTAGGCACTCAGGTTTGAATATTTGGGTTGTTATTCACAAAATGTTAAAGATATGCATGCTTCTGCAAATTTATTTTGTCTCTTAACCCATTAGAAAAAAGCCAAAAAAACCCAAAACCTAAGATTTATTTTAATTAATAGCAATAACATTGGGTTATATACTGAGAAATAATTGAAATTATCTATTTGTAGAATGTTCAGGGAATTAAATCTTAACAAATAGCTCATTCAAGAGCATCATTTATATTGCTGCATTCATAAAAGTAAAGAAAGTTTGCTTAATGTTGTATATCATTTTTTTCCTTATTATGGCAACTGAAATAAAACAGACTTTTTTTGGAAGAATAAATGAATGACTGAAGTTTATGGCATGGTCTTAGCCCATTTTTTGATTGGCAATGAATGAATATAGTACTTTTTATATCTTTATAATTATTATTTAAATAATATCAGGCCTCATCAGATAATATATATGAAATATTTAATAAAAATAAAGCTGAGAAAATTATGGTTAAAGTGTAGTTTTCTCTAATACAACATATTTCTATGTATTGAATGTGTATAATATTGTGAGTGTGTTTTCTCAACTTTAGATTTCAGACAGAACTTAATTATGATGTTTTGGAAGTTCATGATGGACCAAATCTACTGTCACCACTTCTTGGGTCTTACAACGGTACACAAGTCCCACAGTTCTTGTTCAGTAGCAGCAATTTCATTTACCTTCTGTTTACAACAGACAACAGTCGTTCCAATAATGGATTCAAGATTCATTATGAAAGTAAGTAATTCAGAATTTCACACCTTGATTCTTCAACCTTTACTTTCCATGAATATGTTCATGTGTATGTGTGTACATGTGCACACAGCACACAGAGTTCTATCCCCCTGATTCACACTCTGATCCACAGGTACCATGCATCCTACTAAATCAATTTTAGTGGGATTTGGTTCACAAACCATTAACATTTTCTTGAATTTGTTAGTCATTATGCTGCTGAGTAGAATACAAGACAGTCCTTTAAAGTCTGATGATGCTTTTTACTCTCAGTACTTAATCATTTAAGAAGTAGAAGACAGAGATTGGATTGGATTTATTTTTATTTCCTGGATCATGGTGTTATACATTGGTATTCTTACTTTTTTTTTTTTTTTTAAGTTAGGGAAGTTTCTTTTGGGTGTGTTTTACCATTGGTTTTTTTCTTTTTTTTTTTTTTTTTAAGTTAGGGTTGTTTCTTTTGTGGTGGGGCAGGGTGGGGAGAGGGGTGGGTGGAGGTGGGGAGGGGAACATGAGATTGTACCAACAAAAATAATGTGTTGATGCATAAGAGAACAGTTGGCACCAGAAGATTGCATGAGACTTTTGTGGAACATGTATGGAGGATGAACAAAGTAAATTAGAAGCAAACACAGCAAGACCCAAGGAGTTTCCAGACAGAGTTGGGGTCTATCAAGAGTCAGTATTAAACCCATTTTTGTTTTTCCTAGTCCTGGACGTACTAGGAAGAATGATCCTTGATGCATGATATTCTCAAATAAGCTGCCTTTCATTGAAGAGAGCAGAGACTAGGTAGAGAGAGACTGGAACAGGTATAGGCACGTTCTGGAAAAGCACTCTGTGCATGAGCAGGGAAATAGTAGAGTACATCACATGCATTTTTAGGTAATTGGAAGGAGAAACATATCTGTGGCCTTAGATGACTAGCACATATCATGTGTGTGTAAGTTCAAGTATCTGGGGTCCATTTAACAAGAAAATGGAAAGAGAGGGATAAGACAATAATAAGCAGGATAAACAAGGTGTAGACAAAGTGGAGAGATAGTTGGCGATAGGAAAATGTCAGTTTGTTCAAAGGGGAAAATCTACAGAACTATTGCTATTGTATGGATCAGAATATTGGGTAGCAAAAAGCAACAGACGTCTATGATTAGGGTGACAAAAGTGAAGATGTTGAGGTAGATTTGAGAACCCAGCAAAAAGAGAGCATAAGAAATAGATGGTGCGGTAAGAGAAAAAATGACATCAAGGAAGGAAATGCTGAATGAGAACAAACTGTGGTTCTTTGAGCATGTTGCTAGAAATCCTGGAATGTACATGGGAAAAAATGTTCAGGCCATGACAGTTGTGTAAAACAAAGAAAGAAAGATCCAAAAAGACACAATATAAATTTATAAAACATGGTCTGAGAAGATGGTGACAGACAGACTGAGGTCTTGAAAAGTATTGTGCTTAGAAGATTAAGAAAAACTGTATAATGCATCTTTGTGTGTGAAAAAATACACTACATCAGTTACTCACAATTTTATTTAAAGTTCACGCAAAGTTTGGGTCCTAGAATCATAAGCTCACAGAAAAGTAGGGCTGAAGGGGACCACACAAGATCATCTCTTCCAGCCCTCTGCTCAAGGCAGCAGCATCTTAACTGTTTGAGCTAAGTGTCTGTCTAACTTGCTTTTGAATATTTCCAAGGAAAACCATTCTGCATCTCTAAGTAGTCTGTTCCAATGCCTGACCACTCTCATAGTCAAAAAGTTCCTCCTAAACTCCAGCCTAAATTTATCCTGATTCAGCTTGAGGTCATTGCTCCTAGTCCTGTCTGCTTTAGCCACAGAGAAAAGGCCACCTCCATCCCCTCTATAATCATCATTCATGTATTTGAGACTGTTATCAAATTCCACCTTGGATTTACTCTGATGTGAAAATCAGGCTGTTTAAAAGGCGAAGCATAGTTTAGACTTTAGACCCACAAATGAAATATGTAGTAATTCCTCGTATAAGCACTAGTTTTCATTATGTTTAAATGAAGGCCTCTTTACAGATTAAATGATAACCAGATTTTAGATTGTTTCCTTAAAGCTTAACATTTATTTACAAACTGAATAAGTTAATATTTGATCATGCCCTTTATTTTCTACATAGTTCAAATCTATGCTGGATTTAAATAGTAAATTAAATCCTCCTCAGGCATTGAGTCATATTCTGATGTCACTTTCAGTTTGACCTACATATTTCAAATCACAGGATATAGTAATTGAAATGAAAAATGCCACAATAAAACTTTTCCATTTAAATTATGCAGCAGTGGTGTTCATGCTCTTACAGTTGTATGTGTCTAGGGAAACTTTCCAGGTCCACAAAAAAGGTGATAGTTTTGTCCAAGGTGGAATTAAAGAGGAGAAAATTGGTTCAAACACAGAGGGTTTTTTCAATCTTTTAAATATAACCATTTGGCAAATATGGCTTTACAATTAACATCAATTTTGCATAGACAGCACTTTATTTACTGAGCTACTGTACATCTCACTAAATTTGGCAGTCATATTTTCACATTAATAAGCTGTTCTTGACTTAATTCTCTAATGTACTTGGTTAGATTTAAAATACAATGTGGAGATCATTTACTATTTTTTATTCACAGTAATGGATACTAGGAGTGACCAGAGACCCACATGTATTGTTATTTTCTAAGATTCTTTGTGACATTTTTACATTATCCCAGAACACTAATCACAGTGGCTTTGAGGTAAAATGTAAAAGTGAGTATATTTTACCACAAAAAGTCCAGGCTTCTGCCAGTTCCTGCAGGCACCCTGGGAAGCTAGCTTTTTAGGTGTCAGCACTTGATCTAAGAAAGTATAAAAAAGTTCTAAAATTATTTCATGCTTCTTCTCCATGGAGTTCTTCTTTCACCTGATGGAGGACTGAGGATTATCTCCATGTCTCCCAGCCCAAGAAGACTGCCTGCAACTCCTGTCAGAGGCTATGCATACCTCTCCATTTACCTAAAGGAATAGTTACTGAGTGACACTAGTAACTGTCTTTATTTATTGCTTGCACACAGTATCATTCCATCATTCTCAACTTTACTTAGCTGAGAAGTGAGAAACAAAATGTAAATTTCTGTATTATAGTGCATAGAGGCACTGTTTCTTGACTGAACACACAGGGGAAAAATTTCAAGTGCTTATAGAAAAAAGTTTAAAGTTGGTAGGCCTCAACTACGATGGCTACCAGATGACAAATGCAGTTGACAGCGAAGACAGGGAAGGAGACAAGCAGCCAGGAGTAGTGGTAGAACAGATTAGATAATCTAGATGCTTTCAAGTCAAAAGAGTCAGATGGAATGGACCTAGGGTACTGAAGAAACTGGCTAATTTCAGAGCCACTACCTATCCTTTTTAAGAACTTGTGAATGTTGGAAAAAGGCAAACATAGTTCCCAACTTCAAGAAAGGGAAGAAGGAATATCTGAGGAATTAAACCAGTCAGCCTGACCTCAGTAGTTGGACAAATCATGGAGCAGCTCCTGAAGGAATCTATTGTGAAGTACCTAGAGGAGAATAGGGTGATCAGGAAAAGTCAGCATAGATTCACCAAGAGCAAGTCATATCTGACCAACCAGATTTCCTTCTATGATAAGATTACAAGCTTTGTGGATGGGAGGAAAACAGTGGATGAACAGTGAATGTGATATACCTTAACTTTAGCAATGCTTTTGCCATGGTCTCTTACAACATTCTCATTAACAAGCAAAAAGAATATGAACTAGACAAAAGTACTGTACAGTGAATACATAACTGGTTGGATCATTGTACTTAACAAGCAGTCTTAAATTGTTAAATGTCTAGTTGAGAGGAGTTATTGAGTGAGGTTCCCCAGGGATATGTCCCAGGTCCAGTATTGTTCAAGTACAAGTGAATGCTTAGCAGATTTACAAATGCCACCAAGTTGGGTGGAGTTGAAAACAGTCTGGAGGGCAGGGGTCAGATTATGAATAAACTGGACAGACTGGAAACATGTAAAATACAGACTGGAGAATGACTGGCTTGGTTGCAGTTGATTTGCTTTTGGGAATTGGCTTATAGATAACATATATGCATTAGAATAATGGCCCAGGACGGCAGCAACGGCTAACTGATTTCTAAAATCCTGATCATGCAATCACACAGCTCTCACAGCCTTTAAGACAGACAGGGTGTCTAACACAACAAGGCCAATGGATATAGACATAGCCTGGGAAATTGTGGGCATATACCACACTGTTCCATAACATGAGATAAGGTGGTACCAGCTCAGAAGGACCAAGAGTGGGGGGCCTGAGAGTTCTAGTTTTGGGGGAGCAGACCAGGTTAGGAAAAGACCCAGAAAGCCCAAATTAGGATGTGTGCATGTGATGGGCTTGTGAAACAATGGAATATGCTGACAGGACAGAATGTGGACAGTATGATGACCACAGAAAGACCAATCAGCAATAGCTATGGATAAAGATTCATCAGGAGGGAAAAAAGAATTCAAAAGCAGAGACTTTAGAGGAACAAGAAGTTCCCTGACAAAGGGTCCCCAAGAGGGGAACCTGACGCCACATGGGCAGAAGCATCCCCAAGAGGGGAACCTGAGGCACCATGGACAGAGGGCATACCACTAGCCCATCTCATCCACCCCACTGGAGGGTGGGGTGGGCCTTGGCCTCCAACCTCCAGGCTGCTGACCTATGAAATTCTAGAAAAGAACCTGAGTGAAGCTCATGTCCTGGCCAAATGTACCTTGACTCTGATGACAGCTTTAGGACTGCTTGTACTATTATTTTCTGTTATCACTGTGTTTCAATACATTTGCCTATTATTGAATGAAAAGGTCATGGTCACTCTGAGGGTTTTGCGTGCCCCCAGAACAAAGCATCTAGGTCATAAATGCCAACAGCAGCACTTCAGAGATGGACCTGGGGTTTACAGAGGACCATAAGCTGAATATGAGTCAACATTGTGCTTTTCTTACAAAAAA